GGTTTGCCAGCGGTCCTATATCTCCAAGCAAAGAAGTGACGCGTTGTGTCCATTCTGCGCGGAACCGATCCCTGCCGTGTTGCTCAATTACCAGCTCGTCTTTCTGCTCTCTTATCCTTTAGAGCGTAATCTCTCTTCCGCACAGCACGTTTCGTAACTTGGATACTCTAACCTCAGTACCTTCGAGACAAGTTAGCCGCCTTGGGCCACGTTTCCTCCACCTGTAGTCCAATTTTCGTTGAAAATTCCTATATCAAACTCACAGCCCACAAGTTCACGATGATCACCTGCAAAGCTGACTATTGCTTCTCTCCTACCGATACGAGAGTTCCATGTATTTTTTTTATCGATGAGGTGACTGGGTTGATGCGCAATATTCCGATAGGGGAAATAGATGCCTGCTCGCTGGCTCCCCACATGGGCAGCAACTTTTACGGTTGGCTTTCATTTGGCTGATGGCTACTGAAGCATCCTGGTCAATCATTGCGATGTTGCGAAACCTAAACATTTCTGAGCTCAGGGGAGAGACTAAGTGTACAGGTAAGTGTAGTGTCCAGTGGCGCCGCTTACTACGAGGGCGATTCAGAGGTTGAATCTCGGATCGGCTCCTGTTCGGCACAAAAGAGCCTAATAACCCCTCCAAAGCCGATAAGTATGAACCGGACTAAGAAGATGAGAACATTGATCTGTACATTTGGTGGTCCCACATGCTATAGTACAGGCCACACAGCATTTAGAAGGCAACGTAATTTCGAATGGAGAATGCGCCTCACATCCTAGGAAGAGAATCAGCCGCCAGCGCATTATCCGTTTGCAGTTATTGCTGTTTGTTCAAACATTTTTTGCAGGTAAGTATTGAAAATCCAACTTGTTTATTGCTCACTATTTTCTTGGCATAAAGTTGCCGTGAAATATTATGATTGTGAGGAAGTAGTCGATCTTCATCGCTCGATACTAAAAGTCAGTAAGATGTTGATTTACGCACGTAAATGTCTGAGATGTCGTAAAAGTCTAACCACTGTTGTCAACTGTATCGAGTTTTTGATTCCCATCAGAAAATTGGGGTGATTTTGGCGCCTGCAAGCTGATAAAGCTTTTACGGCCTCGTTACTTCCTTGTACGGCTTGCAGATGAGTCAGGTACATGAAGAAGCGGATAGGAGGAGGAAGTCAGATAAGAAAGTTGGGCACTATTCAAATATTGCTACAAAATTTTTTTCTGCTGAAACTTTGCCTAAAGAGAGGATTCGGTGTCCTGATCACCAATATATCACTCGTTTTCGGCGCTGGCGCCAAACTGGCGCCAATTGGCGCCAGTTTGGCACCGCCACCTTTCTCACCAAATTCGGTGTAAATTTGCATAGTAGGGTTATTTGATGTCCTGATCACGAATACCGAATTAGTTTTCAGCCCTGACGCCATTTGGCGCCATTAGGCGCTGATTTGGCGCCACACCCTTTTTATCGAAATCGATAAAAACCTGCATAATGGGTTGTTTGATGCCCTGATCACGAATATGGCATTAATTTTTGACGCCAGCGCCATTTAGCGCTTTTCTAAGGCTGAGCCTGGGAGAAAGAGTGATTTCCTTCAGGTCAGGCTCAGCCTTAGCAGAGCGCAGATGATCGCAGCGTCTTCCATCAGCGCCAGCGCCAAAAATGAATGTGATATTTGTAATCAAGATGTAAATAACCTCCGTATACAAGTTTTCAGCGGATTTGGTGATGTAATGTACACTCGAGATCCCTGAGATCGGGTAGGCGTGGCCGCATGTTTCAACTTACCCTTAAGGCGTCTACGCTTCTGATGCGATATTTTCATCTCGACACAATCGTTGTCGTGTCTCTGTCCAACACAGAACAAGATGACAGTTGTCCCAGACTGGAATATTCCACTAGTAACCAGTTCCTTACAGTGTTCGAATGCTCCGCCTACCCGATCTCAGGGATTTCGAGTATACCCTGGCGCCGGCGCCTGTAGCGGTTTCACGCGGTGCGGATGTGATATTCGTGTTCAGGAGGTCAAACTAACAAGTTTTCAGCGGATTTGGTGAACTTTCAGCCAAATCTACCCCCACAAAGAAAAGTTCAAGACCCGGCCTGTATTCGGAAAACTGGCGGTAGTAATAGTTGAATAGTGCAGAAAATTGTTTGGTGAGTATGCTATGGGACTTCCTGCCTGATTTTTTGACCTCCCACAAAATGTCTGGTAAAGCTCCCTATCTTTCCTGTTGTACGTTAGATTTTATTCGAAGTAAGAGCTGATCTTCGGAATAAAAAACACAAGCTAGAAAGATATGAAAAGCACAACCATGTGGCATTAGTGTCTTGAAAGAACTTTTCAAAAAAGTAATTTTCGGAAAATGGAATGGGAGCAAGATAACCATTTTGATTAGAAACCCACCAGCCTTGGAGTGGGTGCTATTACAAGGGGGTTCTCTCACGTCGTGAAGTGCATTTTCGAAACAGTTTGTTGCATGTTGGCGGTGACTGAGAAAGTGTAGTCATTTTTGCTGCGCCTCTTCTGGGAAGGTCAAAGAACAATTATATAATGGGCTAATGATTCGCCCCCCCTACCCGCGGGCGACACAATGCTGTGTTCCTGCAATCTCTACTTTGATGCGCACGGAGCATTTTGTTCAAACTAAAAAAAGAGCCAAAAAACTACCAAGAACGAGCGAATCTTCTGCCTACGAAACAGAGGAGCTAGAGCTTCGCTATGGT